TCAGGAAGTCAACGCCCCAAGAGGCAAAGAGACTCACAGGCGGAGCAAACAGAAGCGACTCAGCGACTCTGATGCCAAGCCTTCCGTCTTTCTCTTCGTAGCCTCTGGATGCTGGTCGGCCAGCACAGGTTTTCAGGCCTCCCAATATCTAACCGACCAAGGAATCCCAGAGCTCTGGCTTTCCGATGTGCCTCGGTCCGTGTAGATCCCGTACTTGAAGCCCAGGTTGTGCAGGAAGTCGCCCAGCGCTTTCATCCCTGGCTAGGTTAAGCCAGCCTCTGCCACTTTTCTTGTGAGGAGCTGGCCTGACGGGAAAAAACGCTCGTCCTCCATCAAGACACCATCGGCCTCGGTGCTGAGGCACCAAAAATTGGATCTCTGATTGATGCATTGATTGATTGACCGATTGGTTGATTGGGTGATTGAGTGATTGAGTGATTGAGTGATTGAGTGATAGATGGAAGGATGGAAGGATGGAAGGATGGAAGGATGGAAGGATGGAAGGATGGAAGGATGGAAGGATGGAAGGATGGAAGGATGGAAGGATGGAAGGATGGAAGGATGGAAGGATGGAAGGAAGGAAGGAAGGAAGGAAGGATGGAAGGATGGAAGGAAGGAAGGAAGGAAGGATGGATGGATGGATGGATGGATGGATTGGCTGCTAAGCTGCTAATGCGACAGGCAAGCAAACAAACGTCCGAAGCGCCTGTTTCGGCAGCAGGGCCTGTGGCGCCTCGTCTCGCGGAGCTACAAGGCTTGAGTCAGGATCTCAGCACCGTGGTCTGTGACAAGCACCGTGTGCTCCCACTGAGCGCTCCAGTCCCCGTTCTTGGATAGAATCGTCCAGCCGTCTTCCAGGGGCTCCGTGATCTCTGCACTCGCTCCTGCAGGGGTGGAAGCCGTGTGGAATAAGGTTTTCTTGGGATATGCTGATGCATGCTCAAGCGGCATAGCGGCTGGCTTTATGGCTGTGGCTCAAAAACATGTACTAAAATAGCACCTTGGGAAGTGCCACCAAAGACTAAACCTGCGTAACCCTGGCTCTTGAAGATTGAGCCACACCCAACTTATAGCCACACCCAACTTATAGCCCAAACCAAACTGTCAGAAGCACGTGCCTTCGATGAGAATGGGCTCAATGGTGAAGGTCATGCCAGGCCGCAGTTCCAGGCCCATGTTGTTGGGCACGTGCTTGACCACCGGCTGCATGTGCAGCTCGCAGCCAATGAAGTGCCCGCAAAACTCGCTGACCACATGGAGGCCATGCTGATGCGCATAGCTTTGGCAGAAGCTGCCGATCTGGTTCAGCTTTGTGCCGGGGCCCACCAAGGCCACAGCCTCGTCCAAGCATTGCTTGGTGGCATCCACCAAGAACTTGGCATTTGCGTCAACCTCGCCCACACAGACCATGGCGGAACAGTCGCCAAAAGCGCCATCCAGGTACACGGTGACATCGAAATTCACGATGTCGCCCTTCTCTAGGGGTCGGGTGTTGGGCACCCCGTGCAGGGCCACCTCGTTCGGGGAGGCGCAAAGGCCTCGGGGGAAGCCGCAGTAGTTGATGCCTACAGGGTAGGCCTGGCGCGACACCACGAACTCGCTAGTACGGCCTCAGCTCACGATGCTCACAAAACATCTTCGGCTTCACACAAGAACTCAAATATATCACACTTAAAACGCCAAAGCTGTTAAAACAAAAAACAGCTCCTCTCCTTCCTTTTTCTGACTCCAAATTACCAGCTCCCCGGTCTCTTCAAATCACACATCCCTCCTGCCCTTCAAACCCGCCGTTTGTTTTCTTTCTTTTTCCTTCCCCACCCGCGAAAAAGGGTCGCACCCCCATTTTGCCCCCCCCCCCCCCCCGGCGACCCACCCGCTGACGTCCGACCCAACCGACGCCCTCCGACCCCATCTAGCGAGGCGCGGTCGACCTCGTCCGTGGTGACCCCCTCCCCGGCCGCGGCGCAGGCCACCTGCAGCGCCTCCGCAGCGAGGCCGCAGGCGCGCCGCATCCGGCCTGCGGGGTTTCCCCCCAACCGGGGGAGGGACCCGACCCAAACCCCCCCATGTGTTTTCCTGTTAAGAAGAAGGCCCCCCACGATTTTTCGTTGCTTTTTTCCGGTCAAGAGGAAGGCCCCCATTTTTTAAAAAGGAAGTGAAGAGGAAGTGAAAAGGACATAAGAGGACTTGATCAGCTTTTGAGCTTGGTGTGGTTTGGCTTGTTGTTCTTGAGCCAAGAAGAAGTGGTCAAACAATTTTAAAGTCGCCCTTCCAGTGCCATTCCAGTGAAAATCCAGTGCCACTCCAGTGAAGATTTCAAGGACAGCCAAAAATGAACAATCCATCGAAAAGTTGAACTGGGAGCCTGATTTGCACTTGGCATCGCCCTGGAAACTGGATTTTGCACTGGTGTGGCGGCGTGGCTCTGACAAAGAGCAGCTGTTCACACATCAATCGTACCTACCCAAGCTGCGAAAGATGTGGCGGTGCTTTAAAATGGCTCTCAAGAGGTCCAGTCTCCAACACTCTCCAGGGAATTTGACCAATTCGAAACCTCATCTGCAAGCCATAGAACACATCAGTGGAGAGGACACCCGCGCATGAACTTTCACGCCATTCGGAAGGAAGCGAATCAAAAAACGCGCCAAAAACATATTCCACGATGGGAAGATATGGGGAGCATGAAACCCTGGGATTGTGCATCTGCAGTTGTCGTCCAGGTTGAGCGCCTTCGGTCTGATGAACGCCTCTTGCGCACTCTAATTACCCTCATTTCTTGTTTGCTTCCACTGGTGGTTGGCATGGCTGCTGTGGCTGCGGGTGCAATCGAACGGAAGGATTCCCAAGGTTGGAAACAAGGCACCGAGAATGGGTTTGTCTCATGACGTGCCGGGCTGCTGATCATCTCCGGGCTCTTCCTCTCCGCGAATTCTTCTTTCCGCAGCTGCCTGCGCCCCCTTCCCACCCGTGCCCCGAAACAAACTTCCGCCAGGAATGTCCCACAATGAAAGCCTCCACCCTGGACAGAAAACTCAAACGAAGGGTTGAGGAAACAACTAGAAACCTCCGTGACACCGCAAGATGCTCAGGGGATGGGGGAAACGAAGGGTTGAGGAAGCAACTCGAAGGCCGAAAACCGTCAGACGCGCACGTGGCCGGAAACCTGCCTGGGCCTGCCGTGCGGGTCGTTCGCATAGGACGGCCGAGGGATCTGCGGCGGCACTGCCAGCGGCGGGGGCACCGCGAAGCTCTTCGCCACCGCCGGCGTGTTGGGCCGCGGGAACTTGGGCCCCGCCTTTGCCGCCAGGCCACGGCACGAGCGGGCGAGAGGCAGCATGGCGCGGGCTCCGGGCTGTCTACGGCCGAAACGCTCGGCGAATGCCGCAAAGTTGCGGATGCACATGGTCTGGCGCAACTGTTGGCTGTTGGATCTTAGGCGCTGTGTCTGCTCTGCGTTCTGGCTGGCTCCTTTCTGCGAATTTCCGCGTCAGCTAGAATCGCCAAAGACTCTATCTGTGATAAACCTGGGCGACGTGCGCAGTCTTGGGGTGCCTCAACGTTGGCCCCAAGTGGATGGCTCCCAGTTGGTCCTCCCAACGCATCCAAAAGAACAGCTACATATTCGAAGCATTCCCCCCGTGGGCGTTTCAAGGGACCCTCGCAGCGAAGCTCGGCTGCGGACAGATCTTTTGATCATCCAACCTTGCCGGGCAAAGGCGGCAATCATCCAGAGATCTTCAAAGGTTGGCCCCAAAGTCCGGCCGCTGGCATGTTCGCACTTTCAATCATTATGATACTGGTGTGGTCCTTTGTTTTTGGACTGGCTGGCCTCTGGGGCACTCGGGATTCTCACAACGAGCATACTGATTCTAAGGACGTGAAAGGGTCATCTGTTTCCGTGTTGTGTGGCCTCCATACGTTCAGTGCCAAGAATCAAAACCGCGCTTCTTCGCTTGAGAGAACGGGTCCCGGCCAAAACGGTGTGGATGGACTTGCGTCCTTGGGTGCCAACTGCAAGCCAAGGAGCAGTCGTCGACCACCACATACTCGTAGCCCAGATCTAGGAAGCCCAACGCCTTAAGCCTTGCCTCGGCTGACGATGCCTACGTCAACTGCTAACACGGCCCCCAAGGGCCGGGGGTCAAACACAAGCAACTACTGAAACGCTGGAAGCCAAGCGTCAGCTATAGCCTGCCAGGGGCGAGATGCAAATGCGAGTTTGGTGCTGATTCAGCTGTGCCTGCAGCTTTGTCTCTGAGGGCTTGCATTCCAGGTCATTCCAGGAGTTGTAGCCCATGGGAGGCTTCTGAGCGAGTCCATCCTTACTGCTTGAGACACTTGAGGCGTGTGCCACAGCTTCTAGGCATGAGCACCTCTCTCTGCCAAGGCACTCCAGGCCAAGCCGCAGCGTGCGAGACCAAAGCCTCGGATCGACCACTGCCATCCCGGATGCGTTTCAGGGCCATGGGCTGCTTCGGAGGAAGCGGAGCATGGGGCACCTCGTGAACACCGCAATAATTGAGGTTTGTGCCGTGAACGGCCCCCCTTGTGCGATCGTTGTCGGACACGGGCAACCCGTGGCGTACAGCTTTGCCTGCATCCCCCAAATGGCTGTAAAACCATCCTTTCACCACGACCCAAGTGTTTGAACCCGACATCTCTACCTGTGCCAAGGATCCACCCAAATGCCAGCCATGGCGACCGCACATGGCCGAGAGATGGCCGGAGCCAACGGGAGCAAAGGCTGAGATGCCTTTCACTGCCTGTTGATCTGCCTGGCATGGGGGGCTTGGGTGAACTAAGGTGCAGCTTTTTGGGGCGCCTCAGCTCGCTAAACAAAACAAGGAGCCAAAACCTGCAGCGGAAATTTGCAAATGCCAGCACATGCCATGTGCACGCCAAATACTCGCCACCGTCCTTCAACCAATCGTTGAAGAGCGGACTTGATGACATGCCAATGTGCACGGCACATTGCAGATTCTTAGAAGGCCGAGACTCACCTCCACACCGGCGTGGAAGACGCCTCCAAACCTTGATAGCGCAAAGGATCCGCAAAGGTTCAAGTTGTCCAAGCTCAAAATGATCTTTGACAATGTCCAAACTGGTCACTCAAGCCGCAGCACGAAGGAGGAGAACCTAGCAATTTATACAAAAAAGACTGTGTTGGGAACTGCGTAATACGCGCAACAAAGATTCCGATGTGAAAACTCCTGGCCTAGGGCACGACCGACCTCCTGAACTCTCTTGACAACCCCTAAGCTGCCACGCTTGATGGGTAACCTCTTGTTTGCCAGCACCTGGGAGAGACGTTGCACGCTTTCTCTGCACTTCAAGCAGAGGTGTGCTTCACAAATCGCCAATGCGCCGCTGCACAGCTCAACAATTCAACAGTCAATGGGAAGCACCTGGATTTGGGTCTGTCAAAAGTAGGGGAACCTCCAAGATTGTGGGTTTCCTTGGGTTTTTCCCTTAAAACCACCAAAAAAAAAGGTACCCGGGAAAAAATGCACCCATTTATTGCCAATGATTTCGACAGCTCGAATCGCTGACTCGACTTCGCAGGTAAGCGGCGCCTTGTTGAGGCGCCGGATGCCCCGCTCCTGCGTGACCTCGGCCGCAAAAGGCTGAGTCTCTGATGGCAATATGGCTGTGAGTCAAAACCAATGGGATCCCATTTTGGTTGGTAGGTGAATTCACCACCCAGTTTAGAACCTATTTTCGTGGGGATTGGGATCTTCACTGGGGTACGGGATTTTGACGGACCGGACTAGCGAATTCAGAGTGCCTGGAACCTCGCGTGGCCCCTGAGTGTAGAATCTGTCATCGGTGAAGATTGCCAACTGGTTTGTGAAAACCCCTCGGCTGACAAATTGATCAAGTTGTCTATATAATCTCGGAAGCCTCTGGGGTTGTTTTCTGTTGAACTGGGGTCCTCTGTAGCTGGAGGGATCGCATGTCCAAGAAATGAACCTTTGGACCTTGCCGTGTTTCTACCACTCCGTAGTTCAGTTCATGCTCTCAGGCTGGAGCATCATAGATGTGCAGCAGCACCGGCATGCCGAGTTTGGCGCTGGCCTGGGTAAGTCTTTTTCAATATATAGTCACATGGCCGTTCTCATGCTGACAGCACCGTCCGTCCTCTCTCCCACATACATGGTTCACACAGCTGAGCTGCACACGTCCACTGGCTCCAGCGATGGAAGTGTGGACACTGGCCTCGGCTTGCATGCGCGCATGCGGGCATGCGGGCACAAACAAACACTGAAGCCAGCAAGGAGAAAAAGGGAGGGAGCCAAACAAGTGGCTGGCAGGAGGTTGGCAAAAGCCTCCACTCCGAGCCGCCTGAAAAAATCAATGGTGACCAAAGGCGAAGCGACGGCGACACTCGCCAATGAGCACGAGCTCCCCGGCAGCATGGCCGACCGTGCCCAAATGCGCTGCCCCTTCCAACCTGGCCGGGGTCCGACCGAGCTCCGATGGCTTGGATCGCTGTGCCCAAGTGAGTGGAAAGCAACTGCCCTCCCTGGAGCCACAGCAACACCTCTCAGCCTCTCAGCTCGGCTTCGGCAAGCCCGCCCACTGCCTTCAAGCCAATCGCCTGGCGCCCAAAGGGCCAGACAGCCAAACACATGGGCTGGTTGTCCAACAAAGGCAGCGATTGTATGGGTTGCTGAATCTTCAATCTATGTTGCAAGTGGGCTTGCAAGCAAATCAGTGTTCCCCCCACTTGCTCAATTCGAAAAATCATGGATCAGGGCTGCAGACCTCAACGGTTTCCCGGCTTGGGGCAAGTGGACCTACGTCCACTTGCCCCTATGGCCTGTGCGCGCCTGTGTTGTGCTCCGCCTGCGAGGCGTCTTCGTTGAGCACAGCTGCAGCTGCAGTTCGCCGAAGTCCTGCTAAGGGCAGCTTTGCCGCGCGCGACTCCGACCCTGAGGCTATTCCAACTCCAACATAAGTTCCTCATCAATCCGTCGCATGGGAGGAAAGGAAGTTTTACGGATGCTCGGATCAATTGAACCGGGGTCATGATGACATCTGTTCCCCCGCTCCTGGGTCTGATAACAAAGGCATGGGAATAGTAGCGTTAGAGTCCAGCGTCCCGTCAGCAGCCTCAGGAACAGGAGATGCCACAATCGATTCTACGACTCTGCAAGTGCAACAAAGTTCCGGCCGCCTCACGCGGTGTGTCCCGTAGCTCGGCTGCTTCGTCAGCACATGGGCCTTGCACATATGCCAGGCGGTGAGCCTCCCACCCTGAAACTGCAACATGCTTCCGACGTCTTGCCTTCAAATTGGCAGTTGGGGGCGGCGATGCGCGAAAGACGCACTCTGTATACCAGACTGCAAAACTATGATACTGCAAGGGACCTTTTTGACCTTTTGCCTCCCACCAACCTGCCTCGCAGCGGCAGCATTGCTGTGCGCATCCACCCACCTGGCGAATCGTCAGCCTCAGCGTAGAGAAATCGCAGCGCGAGCAGCTCACGCGTGTGACGTTCATGCGGCAAGCGGTCTCAACAATGGCTGCTGTAGCATTCCGCATGGCCAAATAAGGGAACTGGCAACCAAGAAGTCTGCCACTACTTTAGTGGCTTTAGGGTTTGGACCACTTCAGTGGCAAACAATAAGTTTGGACTTTTTGGCCAATCCACTCACGCCCGGCACCAAAAAACGTGGGTCGTGGATTCCAAGCTCCATGACTTCCCGTTCAAAATGTAACAAGCCTTTTTGCCTCTTCGCCTCCAGATTCACCATACCCAGAACTCTGGACCTCCGGCCTCGTCTTGGAGGCTCAGCATCGCCGAGCGCAGGTGCCGCCGGGGTGCCGAAGGAGACTCTGGGCGGCAGGCAGCCAGAACGCGAAGCTGAGGATCGAGGCTCCCAAGACGGCAAAAGCAAGAATCTGAATTCCAACTTCTTTCAGGCCGTGTGCTCTTAGTGGGTGCTGCCGGGCACTTCCGTATCTCTGGCCAAGAGCGCCTCGCACAAGCAACGGTCGGAGGCGGCCTGCAGCCACGTAGCCGCCAGTGCAGGTCTCACACCTGGCGACAGGCAGCTTGTGCTCCTGCGATGATTGGAACATCTCGGCGCAAACGAGCGACCTCGCTGCACGGCATGCCGGGCAAACCCTGTGACACTGCTTGTCCACAAAGGCCTCGACAAATCCTGAGGACTTGTATCCGTGTCCAAGGCCTGCCGCACAACATGATCCCGTCATTCAGTGCCGCCGCTTGGGCAAGTTCATCTCTCCCATTTACAGCGCCTGACGCAAGTGCTTGGCCAAGATCGACAAGTCTTCCGCCTGGCACGAGCGCAGACTTCCCACATAAATCCTTGCATTGAGAAAGAGCAACAACATGGATCTTCGACTGCGACTGCAGCTGGCCTGACCTCCCTCGCCATTTTGCGGCAGGGTCGCGAAGCCTGGCAAGGCCCTCAGACCATTTGTCAACTCCACCCAGCCCGGAGTGTACAGTCTGAGTGGGTTCCTTCAAAACCCCACTCAAAAAGAAAAAGCAAAGAGAAAGCTTGAGCGAGGCGGGGACGAGAGCAAGCAAGCAAACTTGAGCCCGTCGCCCACCCCCAACCCCAGGACAACTCCGCTGATTTCGTAACTTGGGCTGGTCGCCGCTTCCGTGAGCTTAACTCAGGTGAGCATCGATCCGGGTGAGACTGCCAATAGCTTGGAAGCCGGCCTCGATCCGTTCCGGAGGGCCAGCCCAAGCGCAAAATGCACGCGACAAGAAAGAAGAAGCAATGAACGGCAATTTGCTTCACACACTTTACGTCAGCTTTGTGTGTGTGTGTGTTCGTCCTCACTGCTTCAGGGCAAAAACGCCCTTGGAATTCCGAGCGCCAGGTGAAAATTCCAGCGCTGCCAGAAAAGGTCAGAAGGTCCGAGACATTGAGGGAAGGCTCTGTGGCATAGAGCGAGAGCGCTTCCTCAGCTTGCACCGTCGTGCGTGCTTCGGATCCCCACCCCGAAGTGGAGGTGTTACTTTCTTGCCGGGCAGGGCGTTTGCTCATCCAAGCCGCATCGTCTTTTGGCTTCTGATCCTCTTCTCCATCTGGAGCAAGGCCTCCGCAACATCTCCTCGGGATGGCTGGAACCCCACGCTATCGTTCTACGGGGCTTTTGGTTCTACTGGGATTTTGGACACCTCACCTGGCTACACAACCCCCACTCCCTCCATATGCTTGGGCCCCCCGAAAGGCCCCGAAAGCCGTCTCTGCGTCCAAAGCGCCGTGGCCCCGCGTCCGCGCGTAGCGCTTGGAGCTCGCCGACAGCTCCGCGGCGCCGCCCATCCTGAGGCACCGAGGCACCGGCGCGAGACCCATGTGTGGCACCGGCGCGAGGGGTGAGACCCCGCTGCAAAAACTAAATCACTTTTTGGGGATCTGGCGGAAAACCCAACTTGATTTCCCAAAAAGTTAAAGTCTAAAGATCCAACCCAATAGCAGTTCAGAATGTGCCATCTGCGTTTCTTTGGCTTGAGAAAAATACAGGCGCCTCTGGCCCCATGTCAAAAAGCAAGTTCTTGGGGCCATTGCAGCAAAGCACTTGCAGTTGAGGCCAGTGTACTGGTTGCCTCAACAAACGCATGGTGTTTGCCGGATCCGTGACATCGTTTCATCGCATTTCCGCTGGCCAAGCTCGAGACCTGAGCCTCAGCGACTGGCCGTTTGGCCATTCACAATGCGCTGGCGCTCGTCGCTTCCCTGGCCTTTGCCACATGGGCCATTTGGGTCTTGAGCCAGGCGGCGCGAGGAGAGCGTCCACGCAGCTGTCGTTGCCCCGGCGCGCGGCTTCGTGCAGCGAAGGGTGGCCAGACAGGTTCTTCACCTGGCTCGCACTGGCCACAAGATTGCAAGTAGATTCTAGAGCAGCCACAAATCGATGGAACCTACTTGGAGGCTCACCTCTCCTGGAAACACTTCTGGCATCTAGACAGATCTTGGATGTTGTGTGACCATGAGGTAAACAAGACAGGCAGCTTGCCACGTGATCTGCAAAACAGCGGTTTCAAAAGCCTGGTCGCACTTTTTGGACCTGCCACAAAAAGAACTCATGCCTCCATTGCTCAGAAATGAACAAATATCGGTCAACTCAAAAACATGCGCCAAATCAGTCCCACCTTCTATCCGCTTTCGCGCCAAACCGGGTCCGCTTCTTCACCTTCCCTGCCCACTGCACGTCCCACCCCCCCCCTCCCCCAGCCTTCACAAGGTCCGGGAGGCGCTTCGCCAGCACCTTGACGCATTTCCCATGCCCGAAGCGCGCCGCCAAGTGCATGGCACTGTGGCCGTCGTAGCCTCGGCTGGCGGCTTGGCCCCGGTCACAGGCCTCGCCCATCTCTTTTTTACGGGTTGATTCCCCATTCTTTTCATGCTGTCTTGCCACTCTGGGTCATCAGCAGGTGCTTGGCCATGTGAGTTCGCATCCTTGGCAACCACGCACTGGCGTTGGCCAAGGATGTCAAAACGAGGAACCTTTGGAGTGCACCATGTGGGCATGGGTCAAAATAAAACCACCAGGGGAGCGGCACATCTTAGTCCATGTTTCTATATACCAGGGTTCCATTTTGAGCACCTATTTCTGACAGCCATGTGCCGTGTTCACCCCCCTGGGGTCTCGGCAGCACATCCAAGCACTCCTTGTGGCCCCGGTGGGCGGCCAGGTGCAGCGCGCTGCGGCCCGTCTTGTTCAGGGCGCCCACCAGCCTGGTAGCGAGCTACAGGAGGCATCTCCAGCATAGGTGTCGTTTTAGGGGAAATCGATGGGTTTCCCTAGTAGATGCGCAAAACCACAGTAAACCAGGAATCGCCATCTATTTTTCGAGCAAAACAACCAAAAAGGTCACCTATGATCTCCACTATCAGAATTCCCAGCCCAGCTCTTTGCCGGGCCACTCTGGCGCTTGGCCTGTCGCCTGCATCAGAATGCGGCAGCACTCCGCCTGAGTTACCAGTGCCACCCTCGCTCACATGGTCACAATGGTTCATCGGTTCGCATGTTCTGCCAGTGATACAGACAGGTCACATGGCCGTTGTGGGCAGCGTAGTGCAGTGCAGTCCATCCAAACTTGTGGGTCTTTGCCACAATGACGTCCAATGGCACCTGCACGAAGACAGCCAACCAGCATTCAGCCATCCAACAAGCCCGTTTTCAAAGACCAGAACCACCTTGGCTGTTCTTAACCCTCAGTGGTTTGTAGGACCTTTAGCAGCCCTACATCCACCTCCCCCTCCACGAATTGCAGAAGCACAAGCTTCTGCAAAGGCCTTCCTGAGCCTGCCCGATGATGGGCTGGAGCCAAGGAAGGCCCAGCCATGTACTTTAGTCCCAAATCAGAATCAGGCCAAAAACTGCTCAGCACAATTTCGAGTTCGCCTTCTCCTACATTCTCTCGAGGGTCTGCACCCCCATCCTCGAGCCTTTTGCAGGGTACCATGCCTTCTGAAAGAAAGAAAACAACACGGGAAAATTGAGAAGGCACGACGGCCCTGGGAAAGCACGGTGCCCAATTTTCCTGAGAAGCACCTCATTTTCGGCGCGTGGTCTTCCCAGAATTCCGTTGGGGGGGGCCCGCAAACTCCAGAGGACGCGTATCCAGAGATCCGCCTCTCCCCGCAACCCAGCAAAATGCACATGGCCGTGGTCAAAACCAATGGGATCCCAATTTGGGACAGGTGAATTCACCCCCCATTTTGGCTTCCTTTTTTAGTGCTTGGATATCGGATCTTCACTGGGGGCTGACCGATTTGGGTTTTGAAAAGCCCAGGGCCACACGAGAGCCGAGAGCTCAAGTGCGCGATGCGAGAGCTCAAGGCCTCGCGGGGCACGGCCCGCTGGCCCAGCAGCTCCTCCAAGCAGAGGTGCCGCCCTTCCGCCGCGGCCAGGTGGAACGCCGTCTGGCCTGGCACAGTCCTCTGAGCGTTTTCTGGAAAAGAAAAAAAAAGACTCCTTCCTGGGCTGCCCGTTTTCGGATCCCCCGCTAAAAGTTGAGAACTTTTTTTGTGGGTTGCATGGAAACTGCCACTAAACACTAAAAAGCTTGAAGGCTAAGGGATGTCTGGGAGCCACCAAGCTACATGCCACTGCATGGTGCCAACATGGTTTTCCATGGCCATCGCGTGAGAACATGCCCAAGCTTATGTAATAGGTAACGGGTGCCAGGCGAATCGCGTGACCATGTCAACTTTCATAAATCATGGGTCAGACCTGCATTTAAGGGCGGGGCTGTGCTAAGGGACGTGGTCTGGCAAAAAAGAGCCATCTTGTACTGGAGGACATTTGCACAAAATGCTCTCGGGCGTCTGTGGTTCAAATCGCAAGCGGGTTAGATTTCTTCAAGCTTGCAAATGGGATTGAAGGCCAACACTGCATCACATTCGCGTGATTCTGCAATGCGCGCGGCGCCAGCTGCAAGAAAGCGGATTTTCCCAGACGCAAAGTTGACGTACACAACCACAATTTGATTGCCACCAACTCCCAACCAGAAGGGCCCCGCAGTTCCTTCAACTCAGCGACCTCTCCTTTGCCACCGCCCCGTTCCTTAGGTACACCCCGAATTCAGGACTAAGGACACTACAACATCATTTCGGTCAATGTTCTCAGTTTGCAGAGGATTATGCTGAGGATTTGACTGGAAGGGCTGATGCCCGCATGACTGTTAGGAACTGGAGTTGCAGAGTGGGTTAACATCCAGGAAGGGCATTTCACTCAGTTGAAGCTCACAGGCATTATCTAAGTGTCCCTCCTCAACCTTCCCAGTCCCTACATCTCTACTCCCGAGGGGGAGAGGGGTTCGCGCCAATTTCCTTAGGTACAACCCCAAACTCCTTAGGCACAACCCCAAACTCCTCGGGTTTTTCAAAAACATGTCAAACAATCGAGTTTGAAACAGTCCAAAAACGGATTTGGGGTGGATTCGGAACAGGGGATTCCTGGAAAATCCTTATATGCAGCCCTCCCCCCCTGTATTTGAGCTGTTGGGTTGTATTTAAGGAGTTGGGGTTGTACCTAAGGAGTTTGGGGTTGTACCTAAGGAGTTTGGGGTTGTAATTAAGGAGTTTGGGGTTGTACCTAAGGAAATTGGCGCGAACCCTCTCCGAGATGTAGGGACTGGGAAGGTTGAGGAGGGACACTTAGATAATGCCTATGAGCTTCAACTGAGTGAAATGCCCTTCCTGGATGTTAACCCACTCTGCAACTCCAGTTCCTAACAGTCATGCGGGCGTCAGACCTTCCAGTCCGCAACATAATCCTCTGGAAACTGAGTGTACTTAAGGAACGGGGCGGTGGCAAAGGAGACAGATCGCTGAGTTGAAGGAACTGCGGGGCCCTTCTGGTTGGGAGTTGGTGGCAATCAAATTGTGGCCCGAAATGATTGTGTACGCCAACTTTGCGTCTGGGAAAATCCGCTTTCTTCCAGCTGGCGCTGCGCGCCCACTGATGCCCATATTGGTCTTGGGTGTCGTTGGCTCGCGGCCAGAGCGTTTGAATCCCCCCCCCCCCTTGCAGCTCTGGCCTGTGTTGAATTTCATGTTGTCAATATCAGCTGCAGCCCACATGCTTGGCCATGTCAATGATTTTTCATGGGTGAGCACGCTACTGCAAGGCAGACAACCCTTGAGTACACCCCTACATGCCTAGGCGCAAGGAGTTATGAAAGTTGACACTTGACCAGGGCCTTCTGCGACAAAATCTGGCGAGAAGAACATGCTCACAGCCAGCCTGCGCCATCCTGCTCGGCCACTAGCTCCGGCATGACCCGCAGCAATTCTAAGATGCAGTACGGCCTGCGCGCAACTGAAGCTGCCCCAGTGAATGTCGAGCCCCATCCTTGGAAAAACCCCACGGGCATAAATCAAAAATGGTTCTGATGCGTGTGTGCGCTTCTCCGCCAGGCTTGTGGCAAGAAAACAACAAATGACATCACTCGCCGGAGTTGGCGCGCCCAGCGGACTCTGCGTATGGTCAAACAAACACTGCCTTCCAAGCTGCGCAGCATCGTGGAGCGCTGTCTGCCCCTTCTTGCCTCGATACCTCGCTCGGCCCGGCATCAACTGCTAAACCCCCCCCCCCGATCCCGGACACCACCGGACCCGCTTGAGCAACAATCAAAACCCGGTATTGAAATGGTCTACCCAGAACCATGTAAAGAATTAAGAAGGCGGCCGCAACTATTTCCGGCTGGGGCTGCCCCTTACCAACCTTCATCTACCCGGGTTTTGATTGTGGCTCACTTGAAACCAGCAAAGCCAACGCGTCCGAAGTGCCGCGGGTCCGCACCCTCTTCCAGCAGGCGGTCCACATCGCTCTTGCGATCATCCTGGAGCGAGAGGAGAAGCCCCTGGGGGACCCCAGCGACATGTGGGTTTGTCTTTTGAGGGTACACCTTTTGGGGGGGTTCAAAGGGAAACCAAAAGGAAAACCACATCTTTATGGGAGTCTCCTCAAAATGTCAGTGGCAAACATGAGACAACAAATAGTTTGATCTTCTAACTACCTTTCCACGATCTTTGTGGAAAGCCTGGCTGCAAGGACAGCTTGGGAGGCAAGAGGGTTAGCTTTCTTTTTCCAGAGAGATTCTCCAGTGCAAAAGCATGCGACCAAATATGCAGGACACATCCGGCTACAACAGCTCCTTCACAGCCAGCAGCAATGCCTCTCCTAGCTGCACTCGCACCTTGGGTGGACATGGGCCACGCCTGCAAATTCTGGCAAGAGAAACACTGAAATGAAGTGCATGAGCCTGTCAGCCAGGGCTGCAACTGCTGCCAAGCCACGCTGCTCTTCGGAAGAATGTCCACCATGGCAGCGGCCGGCCACCCGAGGCCACAGAACTCCCCCCCCAACGCCCCCAAACCTCGCCTCCGCAACAAAGCTGCTGGCTGAAATGTGTCTCTGTGGTGCCCGTCCTTTGTTGAGTTTCGCCCCAGACTTTGAGCCCGGTATGTCAATGTGGGGCCACTCTGCGGCTTTGCCGGTTGAATCCGCCTAGCCTATCCCGAAGAGCAGAACAAGTCTCGCCAGCAAGAGCGGAGCGAGCAAAAGACGCACCATGACGCACCTCACGACTTTCAAAGCCGCAACCCGTGCCCCCACGACCTCACACAAGTGGCAAAGCCGCTGATCCCCGAGGGAACCCTGTGCCGCCATTCCGCACCTGTGTGCAAGTGCGAAGGGGAGAGTGTCAGCTGCCAGGCTGCGGCGTCGCCTAGGGGCTGGTTTAGCCTTCTGCCCCAAGGGGACAGCTGGCGGACGATCAGGCAGTTGGCGGGCACGAAGCACGAAAAAGGCGCCAAAGGGCAATGTCCCGAAACCTGATCGATGCCCGTGATTTTAGCCCAGATCACCCCGTCGGTGCAAGCCTTCCCTCAGAAAATGGGAGAGGCCAAGCGGCGGAGCAGAGCGAGCAGCAGAACGGTGACCTCCGAGATGCTGAGGCTCCCTGGGCCACCTGGCCCGTCGCAGCCGGCTCCGAAACGTGGGGGGGGGGGGCCCAAGGGGCCGGGCGTTCCGCGCCTTCGCTGTGAGCCTCCAAGACCTCAGCCCAGAACCTCAGTGCGCACGGTGGGGCAAAAGGCTGTTGGGGAAACTGTCGGTTGCTTCCTGTCATGCTTCATGCTCCTGAAACTCTGACTCAGAGTGTTCCCGAAATCTGGAGAAAATGGCGAAGACCATTTTCCCTGCTCAGGTTCCCCACGCAGGCGTGCTGGAACGCTTCTGCATGGATCTGACCTGAGTTGCACGTCTGGCCAATGAATTCCGACAGCCCTTCGCAGTGGAATTGATGACTTTTGCCTTTCGACTGTTACCCGGCTCTCTCTTCCAACTTTCAGCCGGCTCTTTCACTTGCAACCCTGGCCCAGCCCCAGACTTCATCCTGAAATGCCACCAATGAAAGGCGGTCGCCCACTTCCTGTCAAGCTGTGGCGGATATATGGCCATGGGTCAAAACCCAAATCGTACCCCCAGTAAACATCCCAATCCCCACTAACATAGGTTCTAAATGGATGGTGCAGTCACCTATCCCAACATGGGATCCCATTGGTGTTGACCTATGGCCATTTCATCTCCGCACTCTGCCAATAACATGCCTCGAAGCGGTCCAGGAGGGCGTCGCCTGAAACGCGCGGAAGGCGGAAACTCGCCCCTGCAGTACCCACCCAGCAATGCACCTTGTTGTCTGTGATGCTTCTTGCGGCAAACAACTCCACTCCCAATCGCTCTTGTTTTCTCCATTGGGCGCATCCTTTCAACAATATGATGTCATGGAACCTGAAGGGGGGTTGCTGGAAGATCATTTCCTAAACGACCCCCGTCAGGTTCCAGGAGAAAAGCTGGGAGGGTATCCACGGCCACCGACTTTTCCCGAGCTCCCGACGCAGCTCCTCCAGCTCCTCCATGACATTGCCGCACCTGGCTGAAGATAAGCGTAGCCCAGCCTAGCAGCCCAGCCCAACCGCCACAGGAGACCAAGAGCTCAACAACTTAAGTCAAACAATCTCAACAGCCCGACAGCCCATCCCAACACCCCAACAACCAACAGCCAGCCTCAGCCAGCCTAACAGCTGCGCAGCCCGTCTTTGTCTCGGGCCCGGGCCTCGGAGTTGTCAGGCCCGGGCTCGCCTGGCTTCCAGACGCTCAAAACCGACGTGCACAATTCGACGCTGCCCCGGGATTTCGGCGGGCACAAATGGCTTGCCATTGGCAAATTGGGGGCTTCTCTTGGTTGATGTTGACCCCTCCGCAAAAAGTTTGACTTTTGGTGGATTTAGTGGCCCGATGCGTTATCCGGGTAGCCCCTTTTTTACAAGGACTCAAGCGTGGCAAAAGAGCTGCGCCAACAAGGGTTATGAGCCCAACATGTTGATCGCTCGGTAGCCATGGACGCTGGGATGCGGAGGCGAAGGGCGAGGTCGGTGGATGCGGTGACCATGGAGGGTACCATGGTGGCGGAAGCCGACGGTGACCTACCTCTTCATGAAGAAGAACGAGGTGGAGAACCGCAGCAAGAGCGAGGTCAGCGGCAGGTGGTGGATGTAAATCCTTTCTGGAGTTCACGGGCGGTGGAGGCCGCAAGGCTGCGAGCAATGAGGCCCGATGGTTTGCCCAAGGTCCCGGACACCGTGAGCCCCCAGAAGGTCGAGACGGAGATGGACGCTTGGGGAGGTGCCGGTGGCGCTCCTGAGGGAGATCTTCCCGGGCAAGATGGAGTTGGTGGCCACCCAGATGCTGCTGGCAGTAGGACGAGAACAGAAGAGTTCTGGAGCGAGATAAGGAGGGACCTGACAGCGGACCTGGAGAATGCGGAAAATGCCGGAATGGCCAACGGCGATGAGCATGGTCTGCAGGAGGAAGGTCGACGTCCAGGTAATGGGCAGGAACAAGGCGGAGATGGAGCTCTACTACATGGGAATGGAAGAGAGCCACCGCATCATGGTGACCTAAGGCCGGGTGAAGGGCAAGGGCCACCGGGGAAAGGAATCGGAAGGCCTGGAATGATGCGAGGGAGACCTGTGGAACGTGAAGCCGAACTACGCGGTCCAGGTTGGGCGGAAGGCGGAGTTGGGAGACAAGATCCACGAGCTCTTCGGCAAGGAGGAAAAGGAGATCTACTACATGGTGGGCGAGGACCACATGCAGGTGAAGATCAACCAGATGATCTTATGGAGGACCAAAGCCTCAGAGATCAGCGGCTGTGGGAGGCGGCATGCAAAAGGACGGGCAACAGAGGGGTGCTCCCTGGCCAGAGCTCGCAGGTAGCAATGGGGGCATCGAAGAATCTAACCCGGCTGGATCTGGACTGGCTTTGGAACGACGAGCACAAGGTGTGGGTCCCTGAAAGAGCTCAACGAGATGATGATGACGAGCTGATCGGAGACATGGACCTTGCGGAAGAGATGGAGAAGAACTTCATGAAGGCGTGCAGGAAGATTCGCGGAATGGAGCAGCAGAGGAAGTACCTCTTCGACACGATCAAGGACCTGAGGGCGAAGGAGAGAAAGTGGCAGTTGGAGGCAGAGTTCTGGAAGGCCAGATGTGATGAGAAGGAAGCGGAGAGGTTTGTGACGCCTGCCGAGAAGATGGAGGTGTTTGAAACGCCGATGGAATCTCATCATTTGATGATTGTGCCGCCAGAAATGCCGCCACCGCCGCCTCCACCCCCAAGGGAAGGGACACCGAGACGGAGATCAAGGTCCCCACCAAGGTCGCCGTTGAGAGGTACAAAAAGGACACCGGGAGGAACAGCGCTACCTGAAGGCGATCCGCCGCGTGACGAACGCGAAGATGATCGTGGGTGGCAAATCCAGTGGTCGGAGCCGTGGGATGATCACTGGGGGGAAACAGGGTGGGAATCCCATCCATACTCTCAAAGCTGGGAGGCATGGAAGAGCTGGAATGACTGGGAAAACAAGGAGGATGTGAAGGCCGTGGTTGAGCAAGTGGAGTCAGGAGGTGCTGGTGGCAAGGTGGAGTTGACGGAGTTGATCTATGACCATTCCCCGTTGACCCTTGGAGACTGGCTGGCACAGGTTGGGCCGCAGATGAGTGATCTGTCCCAGGGAGCGGCGGAATGGTGGACCGGAACAATGGGCCAGGCGAAGCAGCTCTACGAGGTCTGGTTGAAGTCAACCCCGCTGGAGAGGCTCAAGATCACGGTGGACATCCCGGAAAGGCTAAAGACCCCGCGGTTTGTCAGGACAGAACAGCGGGGGGTCACGCTTCTGTTGAAGGCGGTGCCGGAGGAGATCCGCAAAGAGTTGATCTCCGCGCGGGAAATCACATCGACCGGGGTGCTGTACCGGTTGCTGGTGACCTATCAGCCAGGAGGACCAGGAGAACGAGCTTTGATCCTGAAGAAGCTCACGGACCTGGGCAACCTGAGGAACTATACGGAAGCGGCTTCATCACTGAGGGAATGGCGGAGGTACTACCTGCGGGCGCAGGAAATTGGAGCTACGCTTCCGGATCCAACTTTGCTGGCGGCGGCTTTGGAGCGGGTGGTTCAGCTTGTGAACAAAGGTGGAACGCAGGCGTTCAGGGTAGCCCAGGCGAGATCTCAGTTGGGACTGGACACAGCCCCGACATCGCTGGGGATCTGGAGCTACTCCGAGTTGCTCCTGGCGGAAATGGACACGGCAAAGCTGATGACCAGCGAAGGAGTGGTAGCCAAGGTGAAGGCGATGAGTGGCGGGAAGGAGCATGCCGGCAGTCATCAACACGGAGCTGGATCCGCCAAGAAGGAGGTGAACAACTGCAGGTACTTCATCTCGGAGAATGGTTGCAGAGCTGGCCGGAGTTGCAAATGGCCCCACGACTGGGAAGGTGTCACAGATAAGGCGGCGCGATGCTGGACCTGCGGTGCGAAGACCCACAGGAAGGCAGACTGCACTGTGAAGCCGGGGAACCTGTATGGGGGGAGCCGACCAACGCCGAAGCCGGCGGCAACGGTAGCGAAGTGCGAGCTGGGCGGCAGCTCGGGGGGAGGTGAAGGTACAGGTGGTGGTACAGGCGGTGAAAAATCGCAGTTTCAAGGTGGTGGAGAAGCCAGCAACATGGTGGAAAAGGATGCTACATCGGCAACGGCGGCTACTACAGGTGGTGGAACTATGGCCGGTGGAGCGGGCAGCGGAACGGGGGAGTTGCTAGCCGAGGCGACCAGTCTCCTTCGATCGCTGAGGTTGCCGTCGATGAATGCGGTGATCGTGATGAACCAGATGAGCAAGGAAAGTCTCGGCATGGGCCTCCTTGATGGAGGAGCAACACATGCACTCAGGCCTGGAAAAAACCAGGCAGAATGGAACCAGGCCGAGATCGTGGAGGTGCACTTGGCGGATGGTTCGAGCACAAGAATGCGGAGCAAGCCGGGAACATTGACGCTGCTGGCAGAGAAGGGCACGCAGGTCATTGTGCCCATGGGAGCGATGACGGAGGTGGGTTACATAGTGACATGGGCCAACGGCGTGTGCAAGGTGACCTACAAGGGCAAACCGGTGGAGGTCACGATGATCGCAGGATGTCCTATGGTGGAAGAAGGAGTGGCCTTGGAAATGATCGAGCAAATGGAGCAGAAGAAAGCAGAGCTCAATTGGAAACTGGCGATGCTGAAGGGCCAGGTGGAGCCGACCAAGAGCTTGATCTATGAGGAGGCCATGCTCAAGGCGTTGAAGGAGTTCTTTGTGGACGTCCCGGACAGGTTGTTGGCGAAGTTGGTGGTCACACAGGAGTACGACGTGACGAAGTTGCCGTGGAACAGGCGGAAAAGGAGGAAGATGGAGCGAGCAAGGAGAATCCACCTGCATCTCTTCTCGGGCACGGAAAAGAAGTGGGCAGACATGGAGGGGAGTGAAACGATCATGATCTGCTTGGACAAGGTGAACAACCCTGGGCAGGATTTGCTCAATGATGATGTTTACAGTTACCTCATCGCTTTGGCGAAAAGTGGAGCTGTGGTCAGTGTGATAGGGGGTCCGCCCTGTCGCACTGTGTCTGCCTGCAGATCAAGGTCGCCAGGCCCCAGGCCGGTGAGAAGCGAAGAGCATCCCTACGGGTTCGCGGATCTCACGCATTCTGAGAGAGAAATGGTGGAAGGGGACTCCGTGCTTTGGCTGAGGATGATGACGTTGTACATCGTGGCAGAGGAGACCGCGAGAAGACGGAAGCTCCCTGCGGTGGCGTATGGGCAAGAACAGCCTCGGGACCCTGGGGACTACAGGGTGGACATTCCGAAGGAAAAGCTGGTCAGCGTCTGGCGATTTCGGGCGTGGAAGGCATTTGCCAAGCGGTACGAGATGGAGATGATTCACTTTGATCAAGGACCGCTAGGGCATGAGCGAAGAAAGCCGACAACAATAGCCACGAACCTGGAGCAGATGCGGGGACTGGGGGAGGTTGCAGGACCTGGTCAAGGCGGAGAAGCATGGTCGGAGAACCTGCAGGAGCGGATCACTCAGACCAAGAGGTGGTCAGCATGGGCGCCGGGGCTGGTGCAAGTGTTCAAGGAGGCGCTGCAGAATCATGAGAAAGAAGGGCTGGGTGTGGTTCGAGCTCTTCGGCCTCTAAGCGCTGCAGCAATGGAGCAGTGGAAAAGGCATTTCGCGTGTGATCATCAACCAGCACGGCGAGATTGTCGGGTCTGTGTGGAAAGCCAAGGAAGAGGCCGAGCACATCGGAGAGTTCAACATCCACAGGCGTACACCTTGGCGGTGGATCTGTCGGGAAAACTGGCGGCTGGGAAAGATCAGAGATGCCAGGCGAAGTACTTCGTGGCAGCGGTGTACACCTATCCGGTGAATGGAGAAGGAAGATCTCTGCTTGCTGAACCTCAAGAAGAAGCGGAACCGGAAGCCGGAGATGTGGAAGAAGTGGAGGTTGATATGCTGGAAGAAAAGGAAGAAGGAGAGCAGATGCCCGAGGAAGAGGTCAGGAATGAGATCCAGGCGGGGGACATCTGGGAGAAGAAGGTAGAAGAGATGCAGGATGTGGGGGTCACCAACCTGACGTTTGTGGAGCCGATCACATCAAGACAGGCGTCGGATGTCATCCCGGCGATCGCGCGGATCTATGCGAGGCTCAGGGAGATGGGTCTGCCGGTCTATAGGTTGCACACGGACCGAGCTCGAGAACTGATGGGAGTGCAGCTGAAACGCTGGGCTCAGGACCGGAACATCGTGAAGACTACGGTCCCGGGGGACGCCTTCAAGGAGAACGGACGGGTGGAGGCAGAGATCGGGGTTCTAAAAAGGGCGACGAGAACATTGCTGAAGGCGAGCGGAGAACCAGCTACCTTGTGGCCGATGGCGTTGAGGCATGCTGGAGAGCGACGCCTACGGAGGCAATTGCACGCGGTGGGTCTGCCGGTGAAGGAAATGCTGCCGTGGGGGACGATCGCCTACGTGAAGAAGAAGAGTTGGAATGAAAGAGGTCAGGACTGGAGGTTTGACCGCGAACGGGTCAAGATCATGGGCCCAGATGCAGTGATGTCAACAACATCAGGTGGCTATTGGGTGAGGAGCTGTGAGGATGGACGGCATTTTGCCACCACGGATGCGATCAGGGAGCCCGAGGAGGTGATCATCGACCCGGGGGAGGAAGTGGTACTTGAGGAACGAGTAGGTGCGGACCTCTTGATGCCGAGAGCGGAAAGGCCAAGGAGGCGACTGCGGGAAAAAACAGCTATGTCGACGATGATCGTCGAGGGGGAGAAGGTAGAGGACCAGGCCCACTTCGAAAAACGGCACCAACATGTCACTCAATGGGTCAAGGAAGAGTTGGAGATTTTAGATGCAGAAGGAGAAGATCAAGAGATGTGGCTTGGGGTACTACGAGAAGGGCTACAACGGAGGAACCACATCGAAGCTGCACTGAACCGGATGCAGGTCGAGGGCGCAGCGAAAGCAGAAGAGGAGTGGCTCGTGACGAAGACGGTGTCGATGGGCGAAGTGAGGAGCGAACTGGAAGAATGGAAGGTGGCGGCGAAGAAAGAGTACACGGCATTGGTGGAGGAAAGCAAGGCGGTTAAGCCGATCAGGAAGAGGGACATCGACCAGATCCAAGGCCCTGTCGAAGTTCTTCCGGCCAAGGCTGTGTGTACCAGGAAAGCGCCGGATGGGCGCCGGAAGGTCAGAGGAGTGGTGTGCGGCAACTATTCAGCCGGCAAGGATGCGGAGAAGCTGTACGCGGGAGGTGCAGACGGGTTGCAAATCCGGATGGTGCTGAGAACTGCGGGACAACGAGGATGGAGCCTTTTGTGTACGGACATCCGCACGGCGTTCCTCAATGCTCCGCGAAGAGATGATGGCAGGACGATTGTCATGGAGGTCCCGTCGGTGTTCAAGGAGTTGGGCATCGCTCAAAGGGATGAGATGTGGGTCGTCGACAAGGCGGTCTATGGACTAACCACAAGTCCTAGAGACTGGAGTGTTCACCGGGACATCGAGATCCGAAAGATGGAGTGGGAAGGAGATGGAAAGAGGATGAAATTCCTGGAGACAGAGGAGCCGAACCTATGGAGGATCATTGAGGTAGAGACCGGGGTGGTGCGAGGACTGATGTCCATCTATGTAGATGACGTGATGCTCGCCGGCGAGGACAAGATCATTGAGGCGGCCAAGGCAAGGATGGAGGACGGAGATTGGAAGTTGTCCCCGGCGGAGTGGGCAACGGCTGAGGTGCCCATGAGGTTCTGCGGCTTTGAGGTCTACAAGAAGGATGATGGGTACTTAGTGAACCAGAAGGCCTTCGCGGAGGACTTAGTGGCCAAGTGGGACATCAAGGAGGGCATGGAGGCATTGAGCTACAAGCTGCCGGATGAGGACAGCAAGGATGGCACCCCGGACGAGATCAGAGAGGCTCAGGCTATCACGGGCGCTTTGCTGTGGTTGGCTTCGAAGACGAGACCGGACATTGCGGTGGCGGTCGCAGCAATGTCGAGATGGACAAGGAAGGGTGTGGAGGTTGTCAACCTGGGCAAGGACGTGTTGAGGTATGTCAAGGCAACTACTGATCGGGGCCTGAACTATGGACCGGTTGGAGGATGGGCGTCAAGAGAAGGCCTTGGCATGAAGAGGCGCGTGAACATGGTGGAGGTTTTCGCGGACATCTCCTACGCGTCGGGCGGGGAGGACAAAAGCGTGCAGGGCATTGTGGGCTTTGTGGAGGGAGCTCCGATTTGCTGGGAGTCGGTGAGACAGCCCTTTGTTGCACAGAGCACGGCGGAGGGTGAGTTGATTGGATACTGCGAGGCGCTGACGGTGGGCAGGGCCTTGGTGTCGCTCACGGAGGTCGTCACTGGCGAGAAAGTGGAGTACAAGAGAATGTACGGGGACAACATGGCGGCGATCAGCCTGGCATCCAATGGAGCAGGGAATTGGAGGACTCGACACCTTCGTATCAGGGCTTCGGCTTTGAGGTGGGCCTTGGAGGAGGGTGAGTGGGTGTTGGAGCACATGCCGGGTGTACAGTTGGTGGCTGATGGTTTCACCAAGCTTTTGTTAGGTCAGGCTTTTGGTAGCTTTCTGGTTGAGCTTGGTATGGTGAAACAGGGCCATTGGGCATCCAAGAAGAGCCACTGGGCCGCCGAAGGGCACAAGAAAAAGATCAAGATCGCTAGGGGAGATGAACCAGCGACAGTAGGAAGCAAGATCGCTAGGGGAGATGAACCAGCGACAGTAGGAAGGCCTGACGGGGAGGAAGCCAGGCAAAAAGGCCTGAGAAGATTGGGCAGGGAAGATGAACCGCCCACAAAGAAGTCCAGGGCAGATGAACCGGACTCAACCCCGGAGGATGGCCGAAGGACCGCAGCTGTTTTGGATAAGAACCACTGCCCATCGGGCTGCCCTCCCAACCTAGGTGAAACTAAGGCTAGGATTATGATGGCGATAGGCGCAAGCCTTGTGGCAAGGGCGGAAGGAGCTAGAGCCGAGGCGGAGATCTCGGGCGTGGAGATGATCGACGTGATCATTGTGATTGGAGGTATCTTGATGGCGATCGGAGCTGCGGTGGTGGCAAAGTGGACGGCCAAGGCGGCCAGCAACGTCATGAAGAAATTGTGGGTGGGGCCGGGAGTTGGTCAGGACAACTCGGTGGTGAAGCCTGCGAGAAAGGAGGTCGACGAGGTCGATGAGCAGCGGAGCAGGAGTTGGTCGCAGAGAAAGGGGCTTGAGCGGCGGAAGCCAACTTCGATGAAGCTGATCGTTGACGATGTGGAGGTGGAAGTCAAAAGGCAGGAGTATGGTTCCGGAGGGGGTCATGGTGCGGCTGGAAGTGGAGAGGAGGCTCGCAAGGAGCCTGGTGGAAGTGGAGAGGAGGCTCGCAAGGAGCCGGGAGGAAAGGAGGAGGTCGAGGAGGAGGGCGGCAGTGCGTCATCATCGGGAGCATTGCACAGGCCGCCATTCAAGAAGTGCAATACAAGTTGGAATCAGTTTCAACACGACCATGCCGGACGCGGCTGGTCCATGGACTTCATGAGGAAGAAATACTACGAGGAGAAGTACAAAAAGGGGAAGTAGTTTTTGGGTCGTGCCGGTAAATAACCCGGCCGGCGGAGCGGCACAGAAGTGCCGGGGGGAGCCCGATGCGTTATCCGGGTAGCCCCTTTTTTACAAGGACTCAAGCGTGGCAAAAGAGCTGCGCCAACAAGAGTGGAAAACCCAACTTGATTTCCCAAAAAGCTAAAGCCTAAAGATCCAACCCAATAGCAGTCAAGTTATGTGCATGGTCAGCCTCTCTAGGTGAACTGATTATTTAGCGGCATGGCTCGAGGCTCGGGCCAGGCCTCACTCAGTGGGCTGAGGTGCGGCAGCCGGCAACTCCTGAGCGGGGCTCTGTGAATTCTGAACCCGGGAAGTGGATTTGCCCCCGGCGGAGGCAAAGTGGGGGTCGCGGGCCCTCCAACCTGAGAGCAAAAGCTTGGAGCAGCGGAACCAAATGGCTGTGGCTCAAAAACCTGGTACCAAAATGGGTTGCCATGGTAAGTGGAAACATGGACCAAAACCTGCATAACCCCTGCTGTTTAATTTTGAGCCACACCCAAATTGGAAAAGCAGCCTTGGCACTGCCAAGAAATTGGTATGGGCATGTTTGATTTATTGCCACGGGTGCGTGTCCAACTGCTCAGCTCCTGACGTCACTCTGCCGAGCCGCCTGGAGCGCAGGTCTCATGCGCCTGCGCCTTCCCCCTTGGTCCCCACCTCCCCCAGCGTCCTCCAAAAGCTGAGGAACTGCACATCGCCTGCCAAAGGTTTAAGTCGCCAGAGCGACCATCGACTCTCTGAAACTCAGCAAGCGCGAGCTTCTGCCATACTTTTGCCCAGCAGACTGCGACCCATCCGAGCTGTGGCACTGATGCGCTTGCCCTTCAAACGCCCATGGCGCTGTGCTGCTTCGCAAACCGTCAGATTTGCACCAAGGGTGCCTCGGCCATGAACGAGCTCGCCAGCCTGCTCCTTGTCTTCCAGCATTGTCAGCAAGGTTGGCCCGTTGGCACTTTCTCCGCCTTGATGCACGAGTTGCCAACACCAAGCCGTGCGAGCCGGCCGTCCTTGCCCCAGGTCACGGCAAGCCCGTGTGTTGCAGGAGGCACTTGTCGAGCTACCCAGGTCTGCGGTTCACCCGGAACCGGCAGCCGAAATGGCTGGCCGCCCTGGCCTCCCGCTGCATCCGACCCTGGCGCTCCTCCGGTGACCAGTGCCAAGCCCGACGCCAGCCGTCCTCCAGCACGCAGCTGCCACCCGCCTCCCAGCCTCGCCACCGCAGCGACTGCGTGAGTGATCTGCTCACAGCCGAGGCTGACGAGGCTGACGCTTCAACGCCCAAATCCTCCAGCAGGCCGTAGATTGCCAAGGCCCAGGTGTCGGCCATGGCAGCCCCGCTCAGCACACCCAGCAAGATCTCGACAGGCCCAAGCAACAGGCTGCAGTGCTCCAAGGCTGCGGATGTGGTTGTCAAGGGGGAGCCGCTGGACATCGGCCGCAGCCTGCCGGCCCAAGGGCTGCTCTGAAGCATGTCAGCGGAGACATCTTCCAAAACACGACCTCCCAGCACTGGCACAGGTAGAACACTGGCGGCCCTGCCGCTAGCCAGCCACAGCAATGCATCTGAGGAGGAAAACGTGCAGGCATGGCAACCAGGGCATGCTGCCAGCAAGAAACGCCTCAAGAAAGGCACTTCCAACAGCCCAACGCTGGCCTCAGATGAACCGAGACCGCATACCAACAATATGTTTCTGATTCCAAATTGCTCATCCTTCGGAAGCAAAACGAAGAAAGTGGCCAGCAAAGCGTTGCAGTCTCCCAAACAAGCCAAAAACGAACGTAGATTCTTGCAAGCCAATCATGGGAGCCAGGCCGCTGAGGCCGCAAGCTCCTGCGCGAGGCGTTTGAATGGAAAGGCCATGGCCTCCAGCTCCAGCGACACGTGCCGCGGCAAAGACGCACGGCAGTTGCGGCGGTAGTAGGCCACAGCCTGGGCGCCCCAGAGGCAGAGCTCCGCGCCCTGCGAGAAGTTGAAGCGGCGCCAGGGCACGGCGCCGGAGGCCCAGCGCCGGTACAGCGCCAGCACGTGGGCCTGCGAGGCATAGGCCTCCAACGCCTTCCATGGGAGCGACACCTGCGGCCCGTGGTTCAGGTGCGGCTGGAAGACCCACAGCGGACTGGAGCACAAGGCCTTCACTGCCAGGTGCAGCTCGCGGTGCTGCGGGTGTCCGTATTCGCCCATAGGCCCGTGTGTGACCACGCGCTGCCACTTGACGGCCAGCAGGGCCTTCAAATCCTCGTACACTTCTGGATGGAGAGGCGCACATTGGGAGCACTCCTCATACCCCAGGGTGCGAACCTCCAAAACCCAGGGGAAGTGTGCAAGCGCCTGTTGCAGCTCCAGTTCCCTGATCTCTGCCTCACCATCATCTTTGGGCATGGCAACCACCACAACCAGCCACCATGGGCCCTCCTCCAATAGATTGCCTCCAAACAGTATCTCGTCATCCGCGTGGCTCACAACCATCAGCTGCGCCGCTTCACCAGCACCTAGCCTCGGCGACATCTCCGCATGAGCGCGCAACAGGCTCAGCCCTTCTCCCACCTTTCCCCCCAAAAAAAAGACACCACCCCAGTAAAAACCCCAATCTCCAACCTCCCACAAACCCAGAATGAAAACCCCGGAAAAGCTCACAAAACGCGTCCCCCCAAGCTCCAGGTCCCCAAGTCCCAGGCGTCTCCCAAACGCAACGCCTCCAACGCCCGGCGAAGCTCCGCGCCGAGCCGCCGCCGCGCCGCGGCCGGCCGCGCCCGGCCGGCGGCCCTCGGGCTCCGCAGGCTCCAGGCCCCCACAAGCTGCGCCTCGCGGCCGCTGCGCGGCAGCCGGGCGAAGGCGCCTCAGGACTGGCTTCGCAAAGAAAACCGAGGAGCCATGGCTTCTCGGAAATGGTGGGTGGGCTGTTTTTTGGGGAGAAAATTCCGGGGCGCGGAGGTCTTGATTGACGTTGGGTTTGGGGATCAAAAAAAGTCAGCAGATAAGTGGTTGGATTTCAACCACTAAACCACAATAAGCAAAAATAAGCAAAATGTTTCCCAACAACAACCATGAAGGGCTTCCAGAAAATCCAGGGTTCTCTACAGTTGGATTTTTGGTTGGTGATGTTGTCCAATTTGAATGGTTTCCATGCCATGTGGAAACCCCAATTGAAATGGTTATGGGTCAAAATTTAACCACCAGGAATTGGACCGCAGGTTTTGGTCCATGGTTGCATATACCAGGGTTTCATTTTGGGTACCCATTTTTGACCCACAGCCACATGAGGAGGTACTGTGGATGGGCAAAATCCATTTCGCACCACTTGGAAACCATGGGCAACCATTCTTCGTTGGTGTTTACAGGGGAAATCATCTTCCTTGGGTGGTGCAGGATTTCGTCCATCCACAGTATGGTTCTCTACCATGGTTGGGTTTTTTGGGGGAAAATTCCGGGGCTTCTCTATGGTCAGGTTTTTTGGGGTGGTGTGCAATTTGGAATGGTTTCCTTGGAAGGTGTCCAATTTGAAAGCCACCCAAAACCACATGCCTACCCCTTTTCGGAATAGCTCCGATATGCTGACCTCGGCAATTTCAGACTCGTTCCCCTGATTTGGCAAACCAAAAAACCAAAAATGTGAGGTCCATGCCTGGTGGGTACTTGTTGGTGCTCATCCCCAAGTCCACGGACACGGCCCCAGGAACCTCCGTCAGAGTCGGCAGCTGGTCGCCCAGGCGCGCCCAAGGGTCTGTGGCATGGGGCATGGGATAAAACGCAGTGCTGGTGAGAACCTGGATGCCGCGCTCCTGTCGAATGAGCACAGCTTGGAATGATTACTGCACGGTCTTTGGCGCTGTTACCTTCTTCTCCGCGTTGTTACCCCATATTTGGCGTGGATAGCGGTCACCCTCTGGCCTCTTGCGCCTCAAGTTCACGTCTCCAACGCCATGCGTCCTGGTCCCTGGACAGGACGTGAGTCAGGCTCCCCAAAGCCAAGGGGTCCCACGGGTTGCGCTCCAGGTCCAGCCGGCAATGCTGGAAGAGCTGGACTTGCAGCTCCTTAGGTCTACGAGTCTACGAGTCTACGAGCTCGGCAGAAGCAACGGAGCATCGGCCACAAGACTCTGCAAGAAGTTCGCCAAGACTTGCAGGCAATCCGGCTGCAAATCTGAACCAGCGTGACATGAGAGAGCACCATCAAAGAGATGTAACGCCACCCTACGATTTCGTAAACCATGGCATCGGCAACCAACGCCAACCAGGTATCAAGCCGACCCTCAGCCACACAACTACTACTGCCCGGAACAGCGTACACCCCCAAACAACCATCTGCCTGTAAACAGAGCCCCGAAGCACACAAAATCTGCTACCTTGCGTTCAGCAATTGGGGCTCACACGCGTGCTCGGTATGCCAGTCACAGTCCAAGCTAGACTGGCTAGTAATTACTCGTTTCTGGTCGCTAGCAGCGTTCTGACACATCAAAACAAGTACAAGATGATTCAGGTGGCATCATGGTGGCTCAACATGCAAGATTGACATCTTAGCTTTTTTCATGATTGTCTCGCGCTAAGAGAAATCCAACCCTGCAAGCCACTCGTCCAAAAGGTTGCACAACTCTTTTATATGTTTTTGCCCTTGCCATATCACAATGTATCGCGCCACGTCATGACACTGCGCGCTTGGACGTGATGCCATGCGATGCGATGTGATCCGATGCAATGGCGACGCGATCGATGGTACGCTGCAACAATCTGGATGGAAAAATGCAAGACATGGGCGCGACATTCTTGTATTGCAAATCTAGGATGCAAGCGGGGAAGCACAGAATACACGCGCGGTGGCATGCAAGAATCGGAGTCGGATGCATATAAGGAGCAAATGTATTGACACGTACATGCTCAGGCATGAATGGGGGGCAGGGGATCTCAATCCACCAAGGGTCCAAAACTTGCTGCACCACACGGCCACGAGGAATGCTGGCCAGCACGCCAGTTGCCTGGGCGCCGGAGGGCCCCACAAGCAAAACCACATGCTTGCCCAGTTCCCGGCATCAGGTGCAAGCGCCTCTGACCACAAGTCGCGCAAGCCCCAAGCGCAAGTCCCACCCCATCCGCCCCATCCGCCCCATCCGCCCGCGCGTGCGCCGCGTGCGCCGCAGGCCCCACATGCGCCGCGGCGCCACGAAGATGCGGCGCTGGTCCTCCCAGGCGCCCGCAAAGCTGCCGTCGAAGGCCAGGAAGGTCGGGGGCCCCAGCCACAGGGCGTCCGCGTCCACGTAGACGCCCCCAAAGGCGTAGAGCAGGGCGAAGCGCAGCAGGTCTGACTTGCCCGCGTTGGAGGGTTCCTGATCCTAGGCACGCGAACAAGCCACTAGTAGTTTAAAAAGGAAAAAGAGGTTATCCCTCTTTCTCTCTTTTTCAACCTCTCTCTCTGTCTTCCTTGCTTTCTTCCTTTCTCTCTCTCGCTCTCTGTCTCTCTCTCTCTCTCTCTTTCTCTCTCTCTCTCTCTCTCTCTCTCTCTCGCTCTCTCTGCTCTTTCTGTCTCTGTTGCACTTCACTGCTGCAAAAGTCAGTTTGCGGCAGCAAAGTCATGCAAATCTGCAATCCAGTGTGATTCAATGTGCGGTTGCTCTCAAGCTAGTGAATGTTCAACATTCCGCCAAGTCACATACAACAACTGCCAATGGCGCAAAAGCTCATCATCTACTGCAGACAATGCCGCTAAGATTTGGGCATCAGAGCGCCAAAGGCGGTGCTCCCATTCCTGTGGTGCCAGGAAAACGTAGGCACGCCACGAGTCGATGAGAAGCTGTGGCGGCCCCTCCCCCAGCCATACTTGGTGGATGATGCGAGGGATCTGAGAAGCATTGGCAGCACTTGGCAGTGGCGGTGCATAGGGCCCCCGTGGCCCAACAAGTCGGTAGCGGAGGTCACTGAGTTGGATGCCGGGCAAGTACTCGCCGCGGAGAATGTCCACCTGCTGTTGCGCGTTGACAGCTGAGCCCACGGGGCAAGCAACGCGCTCGCGCCCATCCACGGACACTCGCAGCTTCAAGTCGGGGCTCAGCACTACACCGACGGCGGTGCTGGTCCCCTCGAACTCTGCGCGACACTCCACCGGCTTGGAGTGAGGCAAGTCCGCGGTCTCTACCATCACGACAAGGCACGAGCGCTCACCCCCCGCCAGCCAAACGGACAAAAGCGTCCGCCGTAGAAGGCTGTGCACATCTGCAGGTTGAAGGCGCCACGCTTGGGCCGCGCGCTGCACTGCATAGCCATCCGAAGCGTTGAAGTACACCTGCCAGGGCTTGCTCGCGCATCAAACGACCATGCGCGTATTAAAGGCACAAACGCTGGCCGAGTTGCTCCCTTGAAGGTAAGACCTGTCGACTTCATCTCCAGCAGCGGTATCGCGCGCATCTCGGGCTGTCGGCTCTGCAGCCGAAAGCTCAGCTCAAAGAAGCGGAAGGTCGCCAAGCCCTTGGCGAGAGTGATGGGCCTGCACTCAGGTTGCTGCCTGAGGGCCTTCCACCTGAAGCCTACGAGCCACATCCCGCCTTTGCGTCCTTGCGCGCATTGCCAGCGCCCGCGAGGCCATCGTGACGCCGGGCGCCGCGGCGTCCGCAGCGTCGTGGTGGAGCCGCAGGGCGCCTGGCGCCCGCAGCGGCAGACCGTGCGCGCGCAGGGCGCAGGTGGGATAGCGGCCAGCGCCAAGGCTCACACGCCAGCCGCTCAGGTCTGGGCGCTCGAAGAAGGTCACGACGCAACCCTGGGGGCAATGAGAAGCCTGGGGTTTGCTGGATTGGTTTGGGTGGTTTGGTCACTCAATTTTGGAGCAGCACCTGGCCCTCGACTTTGGCAGAGCCAATCACGCCAGGAGCCAGCTCCCCCAGGCCGCTTCGCCAGGCGTCATGGCTGGCCAGGTCTTCGAGCATGTGAGTGCCCACCTGAGCGAACTGTGCAACACAGGCGTGCTCTGCCTCTGAGCAGGTGCCCATTAAAGTGGGGCTGGTTACATCGGAGGAATCCCATCCCTGAGACCACGCCACTTCAAGGGCGCCAGGCTGAAGCAAGAAAGAATCACGCCGAGCTGCAGGGACGACCACGGGCACTGACACAGCGCTCCCGAGCTCGCCATCCATGAAGAGCCATGCCGAGCATGCGCTGGCGACGCGGATCCCTGCTAAGCAGCGCAGCATCCGCCCCGCCCTCAGGATTTGCTGCGCTTCGGGCCATGGCTGTGACTGCCACGCGCCGACAAGGCCGCGTAGGCTTCTGACCTGCTAGCGGCCCCCTTGCGCAAGCTGGAGCTGAAAGAAAGGAAAGGGAAACCACAAAACCAGAGAAACTGAGCATGGAACAGCCAAGGACTGTGCTTCCACGGCTTCCACTGCCATCCCAAATCGCCTCCTTTGGCCCGGCTTTGCTCCAGGCTCCGCCGCAGCGTGATGAGCGGAGCCTGGCAAGGCGAGCCGAGCCCCCCACGCCCCGCAGCCCTTCGGGCCTTGCCTCAGCCCTCCGGGCTGGCAATGGGCAGCTGCGGCCTGGCGAACTTTCGAGCGCCTCTCTGCGCGCACCTGCCACGCGTCTGGGCGGCTGAGTGCCAGGAGCGTCTCCTCCTGAGCGCGAGGCCCAACTTCACGGTAGACATGGGCAAGGTTCGAGCGCGCCAAAGGTCGATCCCTGCCCCCCTCCTGGATGCTGTCACCGTGGTGCAAGCGGTCCACGACATTCGGCAAGCTGGCCGCGGCGCAGCGGGTGCATGTGCTGCATGGCATGTGCTGAGCGAGGGAAACGAGTCGAGGTGGATGGCGCCTTTAGCCTCGAGTTTAATCGAGCGTGCCTGGCCTGGCTGCAAGTTCCGGTTCCGGCCTCAGCCCAAAGAGCAGAGGCCTGATGGAACTACTACCATGGAGTTCTCTTTCCCACCTTCTTTTCTGAGGAGAGTTGAATTCTTGGCGAAAAACCCATCCGGGCCATCTTTCATTTCAAGAAGCTCCTTGGCTCACAATCTTCGTTGGGCTCCTGGGTCCAAAAAGGGAAAGAGTGCTGCTCAACCCCTTTCCCCCCCCCCCTCCCAGCCAGAGGAGTGCAAAGCCCGGGACGCACTCACAGCCTCTGGCTGTAGCAGGGCCCATGCCTGGCATGGCAGGGCCCCCTCTCAGCTTTCCCTCGATCTGTGTGGATTGGTTAGGTGAGGTCTACAAGAACCAGGGGGTCAAATCCCCAGACCACCCACCAATGGGTTACCTGATCCTTTGTGTGTTCTTTCTGGCATCCCCCGGTGCACCAGGTTGCTTGTCTGTTCTAAACCCATGGTGAGCCCAAATGACTTGTAAGACTTCTCAGCCCATGAAATTGAACCCCTTCCAAACACAATGATCTTTCGTGCAACTCCCAATTCCCAGAGCCACGCACCGGTGGTTCTTTCACACATTAAGCTTCACAACTTCTGTCTCCTAGACCCTAGACGTTGTGCCGGCTTCTGTGGGGGCTTGTGTGCATCTTGAAGGCAGCGCAGCCAACTTCGGGATCAATATGGGAAGCTCCAGACGCGCACATCCAAATCAGTGATTGGTGGTTCGGTTCAAAGGCTTCTCAAACAGGAACTTGCACGTCTAGGAATTTGCACGTCTATTCTGCATGAGTGAAGAGGCTGCTTTCCCCGGTGGGCACGTCGTTGTCTTGGTCTTTTCGGGCGCAACAACTGCTCCGAATGATTCAGCCACCCCCGCCTCAAGCGCTACCTCGGCCGAGTGCATGGGCGCAGCGCCTTAGAAAGGCTCGCCTACATCTTCCCAGCCATGGGACAAGTTGGGTCGGCAAGCGTGCCAAGCCCTCCGTGCCAAACGTTTGGCCACTGGGAACCAGGCGACAAACTAGGCCTGCGGCATTGCAAGGCGCCAAAAAAGGGGCTGGAGAGGACCGCTGGGGCCAAAACAGCACCCGCAGCGGACGCTTCGCGTGCGGCTTCAACGTGCTGCTTGCTGCACTCCAAGGCTCCCGCGAAAAGATCTCGTGGCTTTTTGCCGGCGACTGATGCAGTTTCTCGAAATGAAGGTCTGTCGAATTGCTGACCTGACGCTCCTAAGGTCACCCTAGACCTCAGATGTGAAACCTGAGCAATCAGGAATCACCAAACCGGGCACGAGAAAGAAGCACAAAGATGGCTGAACTGTTGCCCAAGCAGAAAGTCAAGGAAACGAACGCCTGCCACCTCGGAGCCTCGAGAACATGTCGCTCAGGCCAGCCTAATGAATTAGATCGCCGGCTGACACCTGCCCAGGTGTGCATCTCTTGCAGCGAAGAAATTTTGGTAACTTTAGACCTCTCGAGGCCTAAGGTTCCTCAGCGCTCAGACTGTTGGGCAGGCGCACCACGCGGCAGAAAATGTGTTTGGCCGACGAGGCGCCCCGCAAGAAGTTGCCAAGGACACAAAGAGCACACAGGTGGTCGTGCGGAGCGCCTCCCAAGCCTGGGTCCGTGAAACATGAAGGAGCCCTCCTCTCGCAAAGCGGCCAAAAGCAACACTGACCAAAAAGAAATCATGCAGCCAACGGCGCAGACGGAGGGTGCCCCTTCAGAACGCCCAACATGCAATAGTGAAAACTCGGCAGTCTGTGCCTGAAAGAAAATCAATGCGGCAGTACTTTCAGGTACTGCTTGTGCGGCCTGTACCGTGAGCCAGAACCGCGCCCATGTTTCCTAAGCCCGCCCCAACTTGCCCCAAGCCACTGCCTGTGTTCTCAGCAGGGCTTGGCGCGCTGCTCCAACGTGACATTGTACACGTGGGCAGCTCTCGTTTTGTTTGGTCCCGGCATGCCTCCGGCGCATCCTCCGCGATGAGCGGAAGAGGCTACTCAACGCAGGGACCATGCAAGCGCGTTCCCCCATCCATTTGAAGGCGTCAATACACCCCGAAAAGGAACATGTTCCAAGTACAGATCCTCCATTGAATACGGATGAGTCTCGTCGCTTGCATCTGACTGCTCCGGCATTGCTAAGTGTCTACCTCCAGTCCCTGTTTTGGGCACTGTGCACGTGTGGGGAAGCCACACGACGAGGCACACAGACTTTCACCCGGCAGCTTTTTCACATAACATGACATAGTAAGATGCAGGAATTCTTCGCAAAGCCAAAATTCGCTGAAGCACTGAAGCAGCTGACCACGGAAAGCTTCCCTCTCTGCTGGAGCAAGCGGCCCTAAGCTTCAGGCAAAGCTTGGAGGCTGAGGGTTCAGGCTTCAAATGCCCAGCAACAAAATAAGAATGCGTCCGAGAGGGATGGTTCTGGATGCCCTGTAAACGCTTGGGCGCCTAACCCACATCCCAATGTCACTTCGCCGCCTCCCTGGGACACTGTGAGGGGAGAAGGGCCCCTTCTGAGTCGGTGCCCATCGGCCGCAGCCAATCAAACCGACAAACAGCCTATGGGCGTGGGTCAAAATTAAACCACCAAGGGACCGCCTGCTTTAGTCATGGGTTCCATTTACCAGGGTTCCAGTTTGCAGCCTTTTGCCAAATGTGCGAGGGAGCTTCACCTCCAAATCCAACGGTCAATTACATTTTCTTGGTCTGGCAGCCGGCAAGGCATGGGGCAAGGAATCCACGGCGCTTCGCGCGGTCACGCGATCACAGCAACGCCCAGGTCGCGACTGGGTGCGTCACCGGCATGGCGTGCCATTTTTATTTTGTGGAACCCTTCCGAGCAGCGCGTGGGTATAGCTACGAAGGGCAAGCATCACATCCGTCAGTAGCAACGCAATGGAAACACAAAACTTTGCAAACGAAAACTTGGCAACAGCTGCAAAGCTGCCCCTTGCGCAAATCTCAGCAGAGCCCCGAATTTTCGGCTTCAAAAGGGTCTTTCTTTTGAGGGCAGGCAATCTGCCTCTGAACTCCCAGCCATGGCCAACGCAAGGTTGAGACGAAATCGGCGTCCGCGAACGAAGCTTGTTTCCAACTTCAAGGCTCGGGAAAACCGAAGCAAGCCGCCGGAAAGTGCGCGCTTGGCCACGGCAGGGTTTGCAGAAAGCGGCCCGGGCGGGGCGGGGGTCTGTAGGCATTGGCACCACGACCCGGGGAGGCCAGCACCGCGCGTGGCTCCGAAAAAAAGTTGCCCTGGCACCGGGCCGCTGGCGCACGCTCCTTGTAAGCTGCCATAGGAAAAGGCTCTTTTTTGGGGTGCAAGCGGCACATGTCGCACTTGACCATGGCCGCAAGAGATTGGCTGGCCGATCCTGGGCAAGAGGCGAGCGACTGCCTCAAGAAAGCTCAACATCTGGGTGTGGCTCAAAATTAAATAGCTAGGGTTACGCTACCAAGCTGCCGTTTGGGTACGTGCTTTTGAGCCACAGCCATCTGGGGCCTTGAGGGTCTGGCCCTCATGCCTTTGACTGAGGCCCCTGCGCCAGCACAGCTAGCAGCATTACCGGGTGGCGCTTGCCTTGCCGCTCTTGGCTCGACGAAACACCACGCCCGAAGGAGCGGTGACAACTGTTGAACCGGCTGCGTTGCGGGGAACTAACCCAAAAAAATGACAAAGACCAGCCCTGCTGCCCCCGATCAAAAGAGAACCGCGCCTGCTGCAAGACGACCGGGACAAAATTCAGGGAGAACTCGCCGTCGGCCCCCTGGGACCAGCGAGACTCACCACAGCTGGTAGGACCTCGTCCCGAGCCTGGGATGGGCTCCCCTCGCCGACGGCCAGAATCTCGCCTCAGCGCTGCTTTTGCTGCATCTGCAGCAGAGAAAAGGGAGGATGAAAAACCTGCCTTCGACAGGAATATGCATATGTGTGCGAATATACGTGTATATATATATACTATGAATATGTGTGTATAGTCATATGTATAGATATAGAGATGTATATGTATATATATATATATATCTATGTATACATATTCATATGTACATATGTTTATGTGAATCTATAATATATAGCAAGGCCCGGCAGGGTTGGCAAGGCCAGACTGGCAAACAGCGCCAAGGCCGCGGCAAAGCTCTTCGACACGCGCAAGGCTCACAGGGCCTGTGCCAAGAGGCTGCTTTCCACGACTCATGACAGGGCCGTGCACAACACCAAGGCGGGTCAACAAATAGGACTGTTTAAAGGGAAACCACATGGGAAACCGCCACTCTTTTGGTCCCAAATCAAAGATCCACACTGAGTTACCAACTCTCGCAACATGCTGCTGGCAGCTGCAAGGAGGAAGAGTGATGGGAAGCGCGAATCAAAGAAAACAAACGCTCCAGCGACTCCTTTGCTTCGGATCAGCTTTTGAGAGGTGGCTGTGGGTCAAAACCAATGGGATCCCATTTTGGGGTAGGTGAATTCACCACCCATTTTAGAACCTATTTTAGTGGTTGGATTGGGTCCCGTTCACTGGGGGCTCATTGGGTCCCGTTCACTGGGGGCTCACCGGGATTTTGACCCATGGCCAGGTGTGAATTCACGAGCTGAGCTGCCCGCCACCAAGCCGTAAAGGCTTACGACAGAGGTTTCGTCGAAACCTCGGCAGCGGCTCAGCGAATCAGAGGGGCTTTAAGGCTGCCAGCTCTCCAGCAATTGTTCGGATTTGTTTTTTTTGTGATCCGCTGAGTGCCTGGCTGCTCCAGTAGCTTGCTGGGGCCTGAAGTGCGGGGTCCAACGGCGGCTTTCTCCACTCGCATGGAGGCAATGCGGCATGAGTTGGGTGTGGCTCAACATGAAACAGGAGGGGCAAACCGCAGGTGTTGGTCCATGTTTCCACTGACCAGGCGTCCATTTTGGCTCCAGTTTTCCGAGCCGCAGCCACTTCGCCAGTCCTGGGCTCCCCTGCTGATAGGCAGCTCTGCCTTTGCCGCGCCCGAGGCATCCGAGGCGCTGTTCACACCTCCGCCCCGCGTAGATGCGGGAGGGCCCAGGCGCACTGTAATCGGAAAGTGCGCAGACCTCGGATGTGGCGCATTTTTTGGGCGCAAGCTGCAAGTTGGGCCCGCGACACACCGGCTTGGCTGCCAGAGAAGAGGTCTCGCCTCAGCACGGCTGCGGCAAGACCGTGAAAGGACGTTCGGACTTTGAGAACCTCCCAGCGAGGTGCACGGGTTTTGAGCACTAAGATTTGAGTAACAGCACTAAGACTTGCAGCCTCATGCTGCAAAAAGTTTGGGCTTACCTTTGGGTCTGGGCCTTCCAGCGAGCCGTGCCATCTGAGGCCTGCACATCGGAAGCCCAGACGCCTCCAGCTCTCGGCTGTCCAAATAGAACAGCGTGGAACCTGAAAACGGCTCCAGCCCGCCGCGCTCCCAAAGCCTCTGCGGCTGAACCCTCTGCCCAAGCCCCCCACCAAAGGCATCCGCGATGCTCAAACCGAATGATGCAAGTTCCTCCTGTGCACGACCCCCGCATTCCCCAGATTGGCAAGTGGCTGATGGACATCCACCCCCGTGTGATCAATTTGCAAAGCCTGAGGGATGTCGGCATCCTCAATCTCGCAGAGGGCCTAGGTAAGCAGCCAACTGTCTGAGTCTTGGACAAAACACAAGTTCTGCCGGCTACATCTTGCCTGCTCCAGCCGCTTGTCAAAGTCATCCAACCAATGCTCAGTGTAGGCCAGCCTCGGCCAAGTTTCGCTGCAGCTTCCACACTCCAAACCAAGCCACACTTCTCAAACAAAACCAAGGAATGCGTTCTGCGCCATAAGACTCTACAGCCAGCGCCACTCTCAGCACGCGACTTAAATGCCACACCCGTCGTGCGTATGTCTGCCTAGGCCAGTCTCAATGGCCTATAGAGAAAAAAGGTGGGCGCGGTGCCCCGCCTCCTTCTGTGGAGATGGCGTTCGCGTAGGCTCAACCTACGCGATGCCGACAGGTTGCCGAGCGGCCAAAACAACCAGCGGCGACTCCGGCGAGCGAGGCGAATCGGCCGGGCCTGTCCTTTGAGCTGCGGGAAGGTCA